ATATTAGAATGAAAAAAAAGAAAATGAGCTCCATAATAAAAAATTTGTACAAATCCCCCCCTCGAAAAAAAAAAAGCAAGGAAAAAAGCATGGTGGGAATTGTGGTTAAAAAAAAAGAAAAAAAAACTCGGTTTTTTTTTTTTTTTTTTTTCCGTGAATGAGCACAACACAAACATAAAGCGTCAAGCTGAAAAGGAACGATTTTTAAAATTATCCCAGAAGAGAAATAGCAGCTAGTAGAGGAAAAACATGCAGATAGTATAAGGAAAGTACTTTGTAAATCATTCATTCAGTGGTTTGAGAATTAAATTTGTGTTGCTATAAGTACCGAGTCGACTGTTTTGATTCGCTCCGATTATTCTTGTTGCTGTTGAAGTGAAAGTCTAGGAAAATAACAAAACACAGGTCCCTCGGGAAACCAGTTAGTTTTGTTTTCCCTGGAGTCCAGGTGTCTCAGGAAACATCAGGACTCTCGGGAAACAAAACTAACTGTTTCCCTCGGGATCTGACATTAAGTGTATAATGTGTGCGGTTTAGCAATATGTTCGCAACCTTCATTCCACATGTCAAGAAATATTAAAACATTTTACTCTTTCTATCTCTGTAAATGGAAAGTACAGCCTAGCAAACCCCCTACGATTTGCATGTGGAGCTACTAGTTTCAAGTCACAATTAAATAACTCCTTACCATTTTCTACTTAATTCTCCGAACAAACTTTTTTTGAAGAGAGAAGAGAGGAGGTGGGGAATTCAATCATTCATAATTTCTTGAAGGTTACTACAGAGCTTGTTATAGGCCTATATATTTATTAGCAGAAAAATGGATTAACCCTCAAAGAAGAAAAAAGCGATGTTCTGTAACCTATGAGAGAAACATAAATCTATCTATTTTAGCTCCATTTTTACCTGTCTATTCCAAGAACTGACAGAGGATCACTCCCATCTCTACCTCTGTAATTATGAAATGTCCAATCATCTTATTACTTGTTATAAGCTAGGCTAAGAAATCATTTGAATCAAAACAAAGACTAAGTTGGTTGGCTATTAAAACTATTAAGTAGACTCTCATGCTGGTGGGAAATAGTGGTTAATGCGTGCATGACAATATTTTCTTAAAAATGTTTTGTTGTTCTCTTGGATCGGTGCCCTCCTTCATGCCTAGACAAAAAGGTCTAGACGAAAGGCTCGGCTATTTATAGAAAAACGATACCGTAGCTTGTGACAGTCTTCTTTTTTCATTGAAACGCGCTCATATTGCATTCATTTGCAAATGATATTGCACAAAATGTGTAATTTTTATATCAAAACACGAGTACTTTTTCATCAAATCGGAGCAAATCAAGAGCAAACGCCTGGCAATAGACTTTGTGAAGTATTTTTTTTTTAGTTAATCCTATCAAATTAATTAAATGTCATGTGTAATGCAAACAGGATATAAAGCAGGAGATGCTTAATGTGATGTTTCCAGACAGTTTTTTTTTTAAATGTTTTCTCAAGTTTACATACCACATAAACATAGACATTTCACGGCTTGTGAGAAACAAAGCAAATTGTTCTTGCCACTTAAAAGACATTAGGACCACTCTATATTCTAGCCTCTTGAAAAGGCGTTTTGCGAATGCATCGATACTCTATTCGGACTGGACTGATACAGCGACAAGTTAACTTTTTTTTCGACAGATAACAAGAATATTCATGAACAACGCTTAAACGGGCGCCTAAGTCAATAAAGTTGCCACGTTTTAAAGTTAAATGTTGAAAATAAAAGATATGAAAGATATCAATCTGGAAAGTCGCGGAACTCTTTAAGACGTTTGTCACTTCCCTTTCTGCGCTACCTGGGGGCAAAGTTTACCGAACAAACGTAAAGTTTCCAACATACAGTTGGCATATACGACGGAATGTAAATAATAAGAACAACAATGGCGGCTCCAAGCGGGAGATAACAAAAAAAAGCTTTTCATTTTTATTCTGACAAAACTGATATAACTTTAGGTGCACTTGAGTTATTTCCTGCTTTGCAATTTATTGAAAGCAAATGCAAAACATGCGTAAGACAGATGTAAAAAATTCTAATAAAAAATGCTTTCATTTAAAATTTAATCACCTCAATCGTTTTTTTTTTTTTTTTTTTTTTTTGTTTCCTGAATTTTATGAATAACCATCAATTAAAAAAGTCAACAAATTGAATGTAAAACTAGCCTTTTTAATTTTAAATTTCAGGGGGGTGGTTTTTTTTTAGCCATTAACTTTCCCACGGTTCCCAAAATTTTGGGCTAAAAGAGGCTTTTGCAAAAAAAAAAAAAAGTTTATAAGTGTGCACAATTTACC